AAAATATGTTGGAAGTTAGAGAAATGTTGATATAAATATTAAGGAATGGACCACAGTAGTCCCCCCTTATTTCTGATTTCACTTTCTGTAGTTTGAGATAACTGCAGTCAACGATGGTCGGAAAATTATGAAATGAAAATTCCAGGAAAAAACATTTTATGAACTTTAAATTGCTCAGTGTTCTGAGTAGCATGATGAAATTTCACATGGTCCCATCTGTCTTGCTTGGATGTGAATCATCTCTTTGACCAGCAGGTCCACATTGTAGAGGTGACTCACACTTTAGTCACTTAGGAGCCCTCTGGTGAGCAAATCAATTGTCACAGCATTGCAGTGCTTGTGTTCGAGTACCTCTTATGTTACTTAATAATGACCCCAAAGCCCAAATGTAGTGATGGTGACATATTGCCATATTTGCTCTTTTGTATTATTAGTTATTGTTGTTAATGTCTCCTTGTGCTTATTTTCTAAATTAAACATTACCATATGTGTGTGTATATAGAATGAACATAGTGTATAATAGGGTTCAATAAAATGGTGGCTTCAGGCATCACTGCTGGTTTTGAAGCACATCCCCTATAGATATGGAGGAGTCCTGTGTTCAGTTTTCATAATAACCAACTCTTACTAATATTACATTAAAATGTCATTAACTGTTTTTATAAAACTCTTAAAGTACATGAAAATGCTCTTGTTTCATGGATTGTCCCCTTAAAATATAACAGAAGTATGGATTTTTCTCCATTACAGAATAGCAGAAATAGCACGTGGTAAACATAACTGTGCTATGCTACACTCACTTAGACTTCAATCAGATGGATGTGGATCTTCGAAAAGATATTATTGTAAGCACAAGCTTTAGAAGTAAAGCATCTGAGTTTGGAGTTGGCCATTAATTTTATATTTTGTGCAATGGAAATAATATTATGATTGCATAAGTCAAAATGAATTATTTTTTGTTTTCTGTGCATGAGTTACATGCAGCCAAATCCACGTTTTTAGAATTAAATTGTCAATATTAATTGTAACAATAAGAATACCAACAAGTAAGATCTTTCATTAACCAACTGCAGGATTTTGCTTCACAAGGCCCCAGGCTCAAACTAGCCTGAGTTAAATACAACTCACATGGCAGTTAATGTGTTAAAATACATTTCCAATAATGATTCTTGCCTTATATAATGCACTACATTAATCATAATAGTATTCTACCTATTGG